TCGTCGCCAGAGAGGGAGGGGCGGGGCGGCTCAGGCCACCCACGCCGCCGCCGCGCCGCCGCCGCGCCGCCGCCGCGCCGCCGCCGCGCCGCCCTCGGCGGTGTCGCCGCTCCCCTCGGAGCGTCTCCCGAGAGCGCGACGCCATCTCGGGAGAGCGTCTTGGGGTTGGGGGGGGGGGGGGGGCGTCCTCACGTCCCGAAGCAGTTGATCAGCATCGAGGCGCGCGCGATGTTGAAGATTGCGTCCTTGCGGTCGATCTTCGCGGGCAGCACGGCGCGCGCCTCGGTGGTCGGCATCTCGTCGTCGGGGATGAAGAGGACGCACTGCAGCCCGTCGGGGATGTGCACCCGCTGCGTGATCCAGTGGCCCTCGGCGTTGAAGGCGATCTGAAGACGCGGCGGCGGCGGCGGGGTCGAGGCGGCGGCGGCGTCGCGGCGTCGCGCCACACGCCCTGGCGTTCACGGGCGGCGCGCTCGGGGCGGCGCGCTCGGGGAGGCGGGCGCGCGCGCCTGGAAGCCGCCGTAGATGGCGGGCGCCACGTTGTCGGCGTGCCCCTCCTCGTTTGCGGCGAGCTGCAGCAGCAGCTTCTTGTTGGCCGGCGTCGTCACGTCCTTGCCGCCCAGCGCCAGCCCGGCCGCGAGCCCCGCCACCAGCGCCGCGGACGACGAGCCCATCCCGCGCGTCGGAGGCACCGCGTTCTGGCACTCGAACCGCAGCGGAGGCATCTCCTTGCCGAGCGAGTGCAGCACCTTGCGGACGCACTGCACGACGAGGTTGTCCTCGGTCAGCGAGATCCGCCCCTCCCCCTCCCCCTCCACGACCATCTCGAACCGGTCCGACTTTTGCACGATCACGCGGTTCCAGACGTCGAGCGCAAAGCCAAACGAGTCGAAGCCGGGCCCCAGGTTGGCCGTCGTGGCGGGAACGTTGACCACGACGCGGTCGACCTGCGAGCGGGCGGCCGCTGAGGCTGGTGGTTTGCCGAGCGGGCGGGCGGCGGCGGCGAGGCGGCGCGCACCGGGTAGAAGAAGCTCTCCTGCACGTTGGAGATGCGGGAGGAGAAGCCAGTCGTGAGCTTTGAGTAGCTCGAGCTGCTCTCGGACGAAAAGGAGCGGGCCGATCGCGCTCCTCTCCGAGCGACGAGCAGCGGTACGGCGCGCGAGCGAGCGGACGTGGCCATCGCGAGCGGCGCGGCAGTTTTGGCGCTAGAGCGACGAGCAGCGGCCGTGAGTGCGGGCGCGCTCGACGCGATCAGAAACGCCGACCAGCCTCTAGCGAGCTCAGGAGGAAAAGAATTCTTGTGGACAAAGAATTTACAAGTTCGCCCTCGCACAACACTGGGCACGGGACTGGCGCGCACTGGCACTAACACAGGTACACCTTTTACCACGAATTTTCGAGACAACGCCTCGCGCAGGTGGGGACCCTGTCCTTTCTCCCACCCCTTGTTTCGCCTGCCTGCCGCCGCCGCCGCCGCCGCCCCCGCCCCCACCGCCCATCGCACGGACAGGCACGTGCTAATTTGCCCGTGCTGGTGCTAACACAGGCACACGACGGAGCCTCGTAAAAAGGAGAAAAACCGAGCTGCCTCGAAAAAGAAAACCCGGCGACGACGGCGCTCTGGATGGGGCGTGACCTCCTGCCTCCAACCTCCTTCCTTTTTGAGCAGGTGTGACGCCGCGCGAGCGACGCTCCGAGATCGCCCGAGATAGCGCGGCGCGGCCCCGAGATCGCCCGAGATAGCGCGAGATCGCCCGAGATAGCGCGGCGCGGCCCCGAGATCGCCCGAAATCGCGCGAGATCGCCCGAGATCGCGCGGCGCGGCCCAGGGCGGGGTGGATGGGTTGGGAGCGAGGGGGCGGAAGTGTTCAGTGCGGTAGATGGCGAGCTCGAGGCGCGTGAGCCGGACCTGTGAGCCGGACCACCCCCTCTTGTTATCTGCGTTGTTGAGCCAGGACTCAACATACTCGGGCTTGCGAGTCCCAAACTGTCACTCCCCTTTCTCCCGGCCGGGGTGGGGCGCGCGCGGGGGCGGCGGGTGTGCGGCGAGTGTGCGGGATGTCTGTGGGCCCGAGAGCGATATGCCATGTCCGCCTTGCGTTGTTTCATTACATCGAAGGCTAAGCTCAAAAGAAGAACGAGGGGCAATGATCCCAGCTGCAGCCATCCCGCCAAACGTGGCCGCTGCCGCGCCCCCAAACGTGCTCATCCTCTTCGCCGACGACCTCGGCGCCGGCGACTTGCAGGTCTACGGGCACCCGACTACCGTCACACCGAGCATCGACCGGCTCGCCGCGAGCGGAGTCCGCTTCACGCAGTGGTACTCGGCCTTCCATGTGTGTACGCCGTCTCGCGCGGCCATGCTGACCGGCCGTCTTCCGATTCGCTCTGGCCTCGCTGGCTCCGCATGGACTGGCGGCGTTCTCGGCCCATCGGCGGTAGGAGGACTGCCGCGGAACGAGACGACCTTTGCCACGGCGCTCGGGCGCGTGGGGTACGCGAGCCTCTGCCTGGGCAAGTGGCACCTCGGCCAGCGGCCCGAGTACCTGCCGACGGGACACGGCTTTGACGAATACCTCGGCATCCCCTATTCGGTCGACATGGGATCCTCCGCTTGGCTGCTCCACAACTCTCTGCCGCCGCTCCCGCTGGTCCACTCGCACGGCCTGTGGCCCTAGTACATTTCCCTGCCTCCCGCCTAGCACTCGAGAGGACACGTGCTCAGCTGTGTTTGGCTGTGCTCAGCTGTATTCAGCTGAATGCAGCTGTACTCGCAGCCCTAGGTGCTGCGAGCTCCCCTCATCCCCACCTCCCTCGCCACCACCACCGTCGCCCCCGTCAACCTCGCCGCCACCACCCTCACCGCCGCCGCCCTCACCGCCACAGCCCAGCCCGCCTTCGCCAAGCCTGCCAGGGGCCTTGACGCCCACGCCTTGACCTCGGTGTATTCACAGACGTGTCATAAGAAGGAGATACGGCCGATTGCGCTGCGCGCTCCACACCGTAGGCCCGTGGCCCTCGGGCAAGCTGCGCATCCTCGAGCAGCCCGCCGACCTCAACCGGCTGACTGGCCGGTACGTCGAGGCTGCGCGCGCATTCCTCGGGGGGCGGTCCGCGGCGCGGCAGCCGTGGCTGCTGTACATGGCCTTCAACCACGTCCATACGCCCGACTTTGCGTCCCGCCCGTACTGCAACACGACGCTGCGGGGCCGGTCCGGCGAGATTGCCCGAGATGACACCCGAGATGTCGCGAGAGCTGAGGACGGCGCGACGGCGCATTGGGGCGACACGTTACGAGACAAGACGCCATTGGCAGGGGTCGAGGCTGTGAAGAGCGCCTGTCACGCGCATCGCCGCCAGCAGGTTCGGCGACGCGCTGCGAGAGCTCGACACGGCGGTCGGCGGCATCATGGAGGCGACATGACCCGCCCGCTCAAACACACTCACACTCACACACACTCACTCACACATGCACATGCACATGCACATGCACATGCACATGCACATGCACATGCACACACACACACACACACACACACACACACACACACACACACACACACACACACACACACACACACACACACACACACACACACACCGCTCACCCACGCGCACTGGCCTTGCACTTTTAATGCCCTGGGGCCCCTGTCTTTAATCGTGGAGTCGCGAGGGTCGCCTGGCTTTTGCCCCGCCACCTCGTGTGTGTGTGGAGACGTGTACCTGACCCTTCCTTAGGCGGTGACTCGAGCGGGCGTGTCCACTACCACGCTCCCCGCCTGCTTGCGAAGAGCGTCCTCACGGCACCGCGGTGTGAGCAGGCGTCCTCAACACCACCCTCACTTTCTTCACCTCTGACAACGGGCCGTGGCTCGTGCGCGGCCTGGCCGGCGGCTCCGCGGGCCTGCTGCGCGACGGAAAGCAGACGACGTGGGAGGTCCGCTCACCCACGCGCACGGGGCCTTGCACTTTAAATGCCGTGCGGCTCCTGTCCGTTAGACGTGGAGTCGCGAGCCTCGGCCCTTGCCCCGCCACCTTGCGTGCCTGGGGAAGCTTACCTTGCCCTGACCTGCCCGCAGGGCGGCGTGCGCGAGCCTGGACTCGTCTCGTGGCCCGGCACAATCGAGGCGCGTGATCTCGCACAATCTCGGACCATGGTTGCGATCTCGGGCGATCTCGGGCGATCTCGGGCGATCTCGGGCAGTCGTCCCGTGTCCTGGCGCCGAGTAGGCTGGCCGCGTGAGCAGCGAGGTGGTCACTACGTACGACATCTTTCCGACCATCCTCCGCCTAGCTGGTGCGCCCCTTCCGTCGGACCGGCGCATCGACGGGGCCGACATGCTGCCGCTGCTCACCGGAGCCGCGGCGCGGTCGGCGCATGAGTGCCTCTACTTTTGGAAGGGCGAGCCGGGAGGAGGGTGCCCAAAGGCGCACCCTGGCTGCCCGGGCCTGTGGGCGGTCCGCTGCGGCGCCTACAAGCTGCATTGGGTCACAACTGACTCGGTCGGCCCGCGCCGGTTCGAGCCGCAGTTCCACTCGCCGCCGCTGCTCTTCCAACTCGAGCAAGACCCGAGCGAGGCGCACCCCATCGACCCTGCTGCCGCCGAGTACGCCGCCGCCCGCGCCACGATCGAGGCGGCCGCAAAGGCGCACCGCGAGAGCGTCACGCCGGTGCCGAACCAGATCGGCCGCGGCGAGGATGGCAAGCTGAAGCTCTGCTGCGACTGGGCGTCAAAGGAGAAGCACCCGGACCTGCCGCAGTGCACCTGCAACCCCGAGGCGTACCGCGCCTTTGTGTGCGCGCCCGTCGGCCCGGCGGGGGGAGCGCTCGCCGCCGTCTCTGCCGACGGCGCGGTCGTCCGCATAGGGCTCCTGGATCCGCGCGATGCGGCGACTTGGCCAGCGAGTGCCGCGGCGGCGGCGCCGTTCTGGGAGGCGTGACCACACTTCCACAGGTTGTGGGGCCGTGTGAAAACAAACCGGTCCGCTGCCGCACGGAAAGTCGAGTTTCAAATTTGTTTAAGGCTAGTGCCATTTCACTCTCTGACACGCTAATCTTGAAAACGTCTCCAACGGAGCTCCGTGTTGCTTCCAGCGCCCTCCCCCGCGCTCCCTGCGGCCATGGCCGATGCTCCTAGTATGAGAGGTCATCTGGCTACCGCGAGAGCGACCCAACTCGTCGACATCGTCCGATGATTGTGCCTCAAAGTCAGCCTCCGGAGGCTATCGTGGGGTCGAGCCGGCAGTAGCCGTGACATGTGGTTCCACCACCCCTCGTAGGCTTTGCCTCTGATCGCCACCGTTCCCAGGCTGCCTAATGGGATGGAAAGGAAGGCTCGGCGAGCGTTTAGAAGCGTTCTCGACCTCGTCGTGGCAACCTGCACGGCAGCGCTGGCAGGCGATATGAGCGTCGTGCCACCTGACCCGAGACGGGTCGCAGGCGTCGTACCGAGCGCGTCGAGACCGTGTCCTGATGTGATCTGCACGGGTGAGTCACGTCGGCGTCAAAGGAGCGACGTGCGACCTGTCAGAGCTTGATCTCCGATCTCAGCGGCGTCGAGTCATCTCCGGCGCGCGACAAAGGTACATCCACAGGACGCGCAGAGGCAGCTGCGACCCCGCCGAGGGACCCCGCGCCCCCCCCCCCAGCTGCCGGCGAGCGGCGAGAAGGCGAACTCCGCGCGGAACGAGCCGGCCGGCACCAAGAGGGGCTGCTTCGGCCAGCTGCTCCACGGCCCTCCGAAGCGGAGGGTGCGCCCCCCGCCCGGCTGCCCCTCCTTGAAGATGGTGAGCGTGAGCCAGTCGTCCTCGTGCGTGCAGCACTGCCCG